TTTTAAACAGATTCTCTTTCCCATTCCCAGAACACTTCAATATAGATATAAAAGCAAGTTATTGCTTCTATAACCGCAATGGTGGTTTTGTGGTTTCGGTATTTCATAGACTTTCTGTAACCTGGGCCCTGACAAGAATCAAAGAAATTTCTGAGAATTGTGGTATTTTTCTGAACATTATGCAGTGATGAAGTAATTGTGCCTGAAACATCCTAGGTTCAAAAAATGTTCTGAAATTGGTCTTAATAATGAAAATCCTTCCTGTTAATACAGTACTATTTTCAGAGTTTCTTGATCACTGAGCATTTAGATATGGAGTTTCCTGTCTAATATCTATTGATAGGAAGGAAATAAGAATTGATGGGGTCCCAGCCTGGCCTTGTACTTGGCTAAGGAGATACTTTGTGCATATTTCCAGGACAAAAACAGAATATAGAAAACTGAGCAGCTATTCTACCCTTGTGCCACTTTGGCAAATACTTCCATAAAAAACAATGATAGAGTTTGCTTTGGGAAAACTGACTGTTGGAAAAACCTGGGTCCAAAATTGTTTAGAAATGTAAATCTGAACAAAGATTCTCTTTACGATGATCTAGCTTGTGACTAGACAATTTCTCAGTTTTTTTTTTAACACCTGGTAGTATGTGTATTATGACTATGTGGTAATTTAGGATGAATTTTAAAATGGGAATTTTGGCATAGCTTATTCTAAAACACAAATGTTGAGATAAAACACCAGAACTAACTATGCATACGAGCTTAAAAAGGGAGACAGTGCAAATGTGACAAAGACAAATTGTTCCCTACTCTAAGCTTTTGGGAATATAGCAGGTTATAAATTTCCAAATAAATATTGTAGGTCAGATTTGTAATTAGGCAAGTGGGATTGCCAAATAGCTAAATGCTATGCAACAACTTTTCCCCAAGGAAGTCATTGTTCTGAAGAGTGTTTACCTGATCCAGTGGAATTCCTAACTCAGCTTTCAGTCTTCTCTGTGCTGCTCTTCGAACGCCGATGGCATTATATTCTTCCAGTTCAAGGGGGGTGCTTAGTGGATGACTGCAACAAGTATTGGTAAAACAGTCTGCCCAAAAAGAAATGAAAAATTTCAATAACGTCCTACAGTGTTTTGGACAGCAGAATTATCTGAAATGCTATACTTTAAAGTTTTCAGATAATACAGTGGCCTGGCTTTGGAATATTCTGTCCCTCCCCATCTCAATGAGCTTTTAATGACAATAACAATCAATTACTGAAGACCCCAGGAATCAGTCATATTTATGTGTCATCTCCAGGTTTAAGCCCGGGATCTCTTCTCTCTCTCTCCTAGGCCAGAGTGACAATGAAACTTTTTGCTGCAGGATCCAATCTGGGTCAGTAACGGGGACCAGAGATTTATCCTGCCAAGCTTTCAGACTCATGCTGGAGCCCATCCTTGGGGAACGTCTCTCCCACCAGAATTCTTTCTCTCAGTCTGGTGAGAGAGATGTTCCCCGAAGATGGGAACTTGAGAATGAGTCCTACAGCTCAGATTTATCACACTGACCTGTCCAGATTGGAGCCTAAAATGTTATGTTATATGGGAAACGTATATTTGCCTTCATTTGTGAGCTTTTTGCTGCCTGTTTTTCCGCCTCAGATGTTGGAGACATTTGCAGTATTTTAATACAAATTTTGTCTAATTTCAAATTCTTTTGTCATCTTCAGCCCTTGCATTGTTTCCCCAATTGACAAATATAAGCACACAATAAACAACCTTTTAGGGCTTTGCTTTACCAGAAAATCTCATCCTCTTACCATTTGATAGATTTTTTTTTTATTTCTCATGCACTGCCTGGTGTACCTGAGTTCAGAACGTATTCAAACTACAGATGGATCTCTGCCACACTGTTGTAACAATTCATTATTACATACCTGGAAAAGTGATTTTGGCATCTGATCTCTGTTGCAACAGTAGCTTATTCTCTGTGTTGAACAAAAAGACACTGAAGGCACGATGCAATAATCCTAGTACAGAAAGACAAAGACTATAAATATTATACTACAAAGATAATCCATTTAATATCTGTTTGTGCTAACTTTAACTTTTAATTTTAAGACTACAGATAATGCTTGACTTACAATTGTAATTGGGACTAGAATTTTGGTTGCTAACAATGCGGTTGTAAAGTAAGATGTCAATTTTACAGGTCATTAGCCAAGTATCCTCCTCAGCTCAAATTTTTCTGAGATTGCTCCTATAGCCACAGATGTCCCGGCTTAATTGCCCTCACTAGCCTGCACCCTAAGACCCTTGCTTATCTTGCTCTGCTGCTCCAGATGACCTTTGCTGCCTTGCTCCTGCTGCTGATGAGGTATGCCCAACTGGCTGCTGGGCTATAAAGGGTTGGCTTCACAAAAAGGAAAAAAAAACAAAAAACCACAAAGCAGTCTTTTCTCCCTCTTTTTTGCAGCACAAAACCAGCCATAGAGCCCAGAACTGCAGTGCAAAGAAGTATTGTGGCACGTTCCACACTCTTTAAGCTGTTTTTTTTCTTTTCCTTTTGTTGCAGGACAAAACCATCTCCATATGATCCAGCTTATGTGCTTTTTTTCTCTCCAGGGAAAATGCCACTATAAGCCATCTATAAATTAGTTTGGAGATCACTTGCTTACAGAATCTGTAATCAAGCACCTTTTATCCTCATGTAACATCACTTAGAAACAAATTCCCACTTGATTAATTCACTATCCTTTTATTTAAATAACCTGTTCCTTGTGTCTATTTAATAGCAAGTCACTCCATATTTTTTATTTTACCTAAAGCATTTACTAAGAATCTTTATCACTTCTCTTTAGAGAAATCTAAGATCATGAACTTGCCAAGCCCACATTTTCAAGGCAAAATAAAATGTGTCTTTTAATTGAGCCTGCAAGCAATGAAAAAAAGAACAAATAAATTCATACTTCTTATTGATGCTTAGAAAGAACTTCAGAATTCACATGCAGCTGATAAAACATATATAATACTAAATCTAAATAGAATGATAGGCTACATTGGAGATAAGAGTAATCTATTAGAAGCTTTTCAGCTTCTCTGTATCAAAATATTTGTAATGTCTGAAGAACAGAATTAATCCAAACATACTTGATCAACAGCATTTTTCTTTTTCTGATTCTATCTTGATCTATAACTAAAGTTCAGATATCTGGAGGAAAGAAATCTCGCTGTGTTGTACAGCAAGTTTCTGACCCACTTGAGTTATGTAAGCAAGATCCTCCTTGCAAACAATATACTTTAAATAACATTTTACCTTTGTCAATGTTTTCATTCAGGTGGCAGTTTTTCTTTGTGTCTGAACCAATCCTGTTGTCATTTTCATCTATTAGGATGCACATCTCTGACAGCAACTCCACTTGCTGCTTATCCAATTCATCTGTATTTATTTCAGGCATAATTTTGTAGTTGATCTCTCTAAAAAGTATACTGAATAGAAATAGCAATTCAGACCAAAACAAAACTTTACCACCCAGAATTTGTGATTAGGTGATTCCAACACAAACATTTTGAGTTAAAGATTATCAATTGATTGTTCACATTCCACAGGAGAATTCAGATATGCATAAAACATGCAATATAAAAAAAACAGGGTAAACTGGTTTCAGAATGCCTCAACAATTAGGACACTTCTCTATCATATTGTGGATTTTTAAACAAACCAAGCTTTTTGCATTCTCCATTCTTTTTGTATATTTATCTATTTTAGTATTTGATCTTTTCAGAACATATGTGTGCTCCAACAGATGTTACATCATTATCATCCTATCCTTGACTTTTTCAGGATTGATTCTAGTATATTTTCTCTCCATGGCAATTTCTCTTAAAGCCCCACAACATCTGCTTTAACAACTGCCTCCTTGATAAGCTTTTCAGCATCTGGAAAGAAAATATATGTTTTTCTTAAAAAAAACCTATTATGGTGAGAATAAAAAATAAGAGCGAAAATAAATTGCATGTACAGTATCAACTAGAGCTCCTTGCAGAAAAGTAAGCCAACAGTGCAATGAATGATTACTTAAATGAAGTTTCTCCTTGTCATCCAAAAACCTCATTCAGTTTTTGAATTGAAGAAGCTTTTTGGATGAGAAGTGAAACGTTTCCAAAGGGGAAAAAAACAAAGCCCAGTTGTCTTTTGGAAAAAGCATTTTTGGAACAAACATGACCTTGATGATTGAGAATCTCTGTAGACATTATCCCAAGAAAAGCTCTCAACTTTGTCCCCATTTATTATTATTATTATTGGAAGGTGGGGGGAAGGAATGAATTCAGGTTCATCTAATCTTTCCCTAGACCAGTCTGCTGGACTCCCATCTTCCCTAGCCAACTCAGCCAAGAAGATCCCATGTTTTTAAGTCAACAAAAGAGAATCGCACCCCGAAAGTGGAGAAAGCGGATCTAGAGAGGGATCTTTTCAGTTGCTGCGAGCAGCGGTTCTTCCAGAAAACCCTCCCTCGCTAGAAGTAGGCTACCTCGGACCAAGGGATGAGCGACCTTCCCTTGTGAGAAGCAGACTACCCGAGATTCAAGGATGCAAGGTTAAAGGCGGCAATTGCCTTCACACCCGGTTTCCCGCCTTACCCGGAAGGCTGGGGATAGGGGCGCAGACCCCGGCATTAAACCGCAACCCCTCCGATACCCCATCTCGGCCCTTACCGCGCTCCGTTCACCTTCGGGACCGCGACAGAAGCAGGCGAAATCAACCTCCGTGCCCGGCTGCTGGACTGATAGCAACAGCCGCCCGCCCGCGGTGAAAAGTGGAGCGGCGCCGCCCCTCCCCCAGCCAGGGACGACGGCGCCGCAGCCGCCGCCGCCGTTGCCAATCTGCGCGTTGCGGGCCACATCGCCAGGCAACACGCCCCGCGAAGCGCGCGACCAATGACAACCGCGCCGGGTTCCCGCGTCAGCGCGTGGGCCGATCGCACCACCGTCCAGAGATAATATGAGCGCCTGCCAGTCATCCGGACGGGAACACCACTGGCGGAGGGGTCTAGCCCGATGGCGGGGGAGGCGGAGCTTACGGGAGGCCCGAAGTGGGGAATGGGAGGGGCGAAGATAGCTGCGGTGGCGGAAGAATAAAAGTGACCAGTTAAGAAACAGCCAATAGTTGAGAAGGACGGGCAGATGGCTATGTCGGGTAGCAAATGAGAATAAGGATGTGGATGAGAGGTTGGCCGATAGGCACTTTAGGACATCCACCTGCTGATCAATTTGGGAATAGGACAACAGAGATTCCTGGGAAGTGGAACGGGACAATCGAGATTGCCAGGGAATAGAGAGCAACCAGAGAAGTTGGATTGCAATGCTTATAAATCCTACCCATCGTTGTGGGGACACCGAAGGAAAACTGCTGAAGGAGATCAGGCTATTATAAAATACTTTAACAATAGCCAGCATACACTGGGTTAATTTTTTTTAAAGTACAAATTGCAGAGATTTTTGCATGTCAGTATGTAAGCAGTTTAAAAACTGAAACAAAAAAAATAAAACTTGCAAGAGACATTTTCTAACAAATGAAATTCTAATGCATACAAATCAAGGGTGTAATTGCAATGATATATTTATAAGGTGTTAGAGTAGAATCTTGTGGTGTGTGAAGAACCTTAGGTTTCATCCAGAACCATGTCAATATTGCATTACTAAATAACGCACTAGACCAAATCTATCCAGTCCAAAGCAGGTCCTTGGTTTAGGATAGGATAAGATATGTTGAAGGAAAAATCTTCATCATGGTTCAGTCCAAGCTGGGAATAAACAACATGGTGACTTCTTCAGAAAGAAGATTGCAGTTTATTGGAGAGGAAAGCCAGACAGGAAGATGGTTCTGAAAGAAAAAGAGTGAGTACATGTAGGGAGTGGGTATTTATTTATTTATTTATTTATTTATTTCTAAAATGTATATGCCGCCCAATCCTGAGGGACTCAGGGCGGCGTACAAAATTAAAACAATAAATATAACAATAAAACAGTAAAATAAGTACATTCATACAGCATGTCCAATTGTATCCCGGCCCCCTCCGGGGACATCAGCCCCAGGCCTGCCAGAACAGGAGAGTTTTAATGGCTTTCTTAAAGGCCGGCAAGGTGGGAGTAGTTCGAATCTCGGGGGGAAGTTGATTCCACCAGGTTGGAGCCACCACAGAAAAGGCTCTTCCCCGAGGGCCCGCCAGCTGACATTCACCCTCTGAAACCTTTTGTTTGGAGTTGTTCTTGTGGCATGAACTTTGACCTGAGTCTGAGTGTGCCTTTCTGATATTCTGATGGTGGTGGGTTAATCCTATTATGTACCAAGGATCATATCCTGCTTCCCTGGGGCTCTGGCTGATGACTCTTAGATTTTTGGTGTTGATTCTAGGGATCTTCTTAATCCCAGTTTCCTGATTCCAGTCTTTTTGAGAAGATTATCACCTGCATTTCTACAGACTTGGTTTTTGTTTGGGACAGAGAGACTTGGGGGCAGGGTTGTTTCTGCTTTTAAAATCCTTTAGGGAAATATATTCTGCCTTTTAAATATTTCCAAAAATATTTCTTTCTGGGAGGGGGTGGCTGACTTCCCACAGATAGTATGGAAGGAAAAGTCTTCATCAGGGTTCAGTCCAAGCTGGGAATAAACAACATGGCGACTGCTTTAGAAAGAAGGTTGCAGTTTATTGAAAAGGAGAGCCAGACAGATGGCTCTGGAAGAAAAGAGAGAGCACCTGTAGGGAGTGGGTTTTTATACCCTCTGGGGCTCATGAAGTTGTTTCCTGTTCCTGTTTGAGGCTTTGTATTTCCCATATCATGTACTTTGATCTGAGTCTGAATGTGCCCCTTTGGCATCTGTGGGTTAATCCTATTATGTCCTGTCTTATAGTTGAGTGGGGTATGTAGATTTTAGGTGTCTTTGTCTTCCTAAGCTTCTAGCTCAGACATGTCAAAGTCGCGACGTCACGTGACGTCATGCAACGTATTGGAACAGTTTTGCCATTGCCGGCAATAGGGTGGACAAGGCTTCCGGATGATGCTTTCAATCCACAAGCTGGCAGTTTGACACACCTGTTCTAGCTGGAGGGCTCCAACCTTCCTGTATGGATTATTATATCTGCATTTCTACAGAACTGGTTTCTGCTTGGGGGAGGGAGACTTGGGGCTATTAAGAAAAACTGGGCATGCTTTTCTGCCCCTTTGAGGAAATATAATATTCTACCCTTTTAATATTTCCTTCTGGGGGGGCTGACTTCCCACAGTAGGATAGGATAGGATAGGATAGGTTAGTATAGGACAGGACCTTGGAGATCTTCTAGTCCAGCCCCCGACTCAAGCAGGAGGACCTATACCATCTCAGACAAGTGACTGTCTAGCCTCTTCTTAAAAATCTCCAGTGATGAGCAGCCACAATTTGTGGAGGCAACTGTACCATTGGTTAAGTGTCCTCACTGTCAGGAAGCTTCTCCTTAATTCCAGGTTACTTCTCTTTGATCAGTTTCCAACCATTGTTTCTTGTCCTACCCTCTGGAGCTTTGGTGAATAACATGACCCTTCTTCTTTGTGGCAGCCCCTCAGATACTGGAATACTGCTATCATGTCTCCCCTATTCTTTTCTTTAGGCTAGCCAAACCCAAGTCCTGCAACCGTTCTTCATATCTTTAAGTCTCCAGGCCTTTAATTATCTTAATTGCTCTTCTCTGAATTTTTTCCAAACTCTCAAGATCTTTTTTGTGACATGGTGACCAAAATTGGCTGCAATATTCCAGGTATGTTCTTACTAGGGTTTTATAAAGCGGTACTAATACTTTGCGTGATCTTGATTCTATGCCTCTATTTATACAACCCAGGATTGTATTAGCTTTTCTGGCTGCTGCTGCACACTGCTGGCTCATAGTCAAGTGATCATCCACTAGGACTCCAAGGTCCCTCTCACAGTTACTGTTTTTAAGCCAGATCTCGCTCAATTTGTACTTGTCTCTTTGATTTTTCCTGCCTAAATGTAAAACTTTGCTTTTCTCCACATTGAAACTCATTTTGTTGGATAGGTCCCATTGTTCAAATTTGTCAAGATCTTTTTGGATCCTGATTTTGTCCTTTGGGGTGTTGGCTACTCCTGCCAGTTTGGTGATATCTGCAAATTTAATGCGTTCCCTTTCAATTCTGAAGAACAGAACAGAATAGAATAGAATATGTTTATTGTCATTGTGTAACTCACAGCAAAATTAAATGCTGTCCACAGTGCACACTACACACAAGTAAAAAACACAAATAAGAACATACATTATATACACACATACTTCACATTCTATTCACTATTGCACTGCCCTGTTCTATCCCAGCCTATTGCCGTCCTTGTTAAAGGCACAAGGACCAAACCCCTGCTGATGCAATAGGCTGGAGACTTTACAACAGTGGTTCTCAACCTGTGGGTCGGGACCCCATTTGGGGTCGAACGACTATTTCACGGGGGTCGCCAAACAACGCAGTCCACCATTTTTTCCCCTTTTCCTTAGCTGTGCTACTCTCTTTTATTCTATTGGCTTTTGAAAGCCAATAGAATAGACTCTCTTGAATAGAGTCTAATTCTATTGGCTTTCAAAAGCCAATAGGAATTGTCCAGGCTGTCTCTGCCCTGCTGAGCCCGCCAAAAGTCCCATTCTGCAAACGGTGCTGCACCAGTTGAGTAGTCCTCAACTTACGACCGGTTGAGTAGTCCTCGACTTACGACCGGTTGGGGGTCGCGGCATTAAAAAGGTTGAGAACCACTGCTTTACAATAAAACAAAACTCTTTTAATATGGTTGACAAAACTGTCAAAAAGTCCAAAACACAAACAGCAAAACTCAAGTCCAAAGGAAACACGATGCAAACAGATGAGAAGTCACAAACAAGACGAACAGACCAGGATTCCAAGAAGCACTTTGCAAACAGTTGCCTTCAGCAACCAGCACCACCCACACCTCCTCCCTTTATTGAGCAGTCCCAAGGCGTTGCCTCTCATTGCCTTTTCTTTTTACTCTGGAGGTGCCTCATTGACTGCTGTTGATTTACTCTCGCTAATTGACGACATGTGCGGGCGTCAATTAGCAAGTCCATGAGGTGTGGGTCTTCCGGGTCTGACTCATGCTCCTCACACAGCTGAGGAAGCATGGAACATGACTGGAGGGCCCAGGCTCTGCATCATCAGGAACACGACTGGAAGGCCCAGGCTCTGCATCAAACTGTGAGTCCTGTAATTCATCAGAGCCTCCCTCTGCCCCTGATGGCCCTTCAAATGCCTCCTCCACCTCCTCAGATTCCTCAGACTCAGCTGTTGTGAGTACAGGCTGGCATGGAATCACAACATGCCCCTAATATTGCACTTCAGTGTTGCACTGTGGTATTTAATATAGTTATAGTTCTGGGATAAAAACTATTTTTCAGCCCATTTGTCTTGTTTTTATTATCCTGTACCATCTGCCAGATGTTAATAGTTCAAAAAAAAAAAAAAGAATGTCCAGGGTGAGATGAATCTTTAAGAATATTTTGAGCTTTCCTAAGACAATGGGAATTGTACAGTTCGTCCAGGGGGAAGAGGAGAGGGCAGCCAATAATACTCTGGCCGATGGTAACGATCCTCTGGAGCGCTTTCCTATCTGCTACTGTGCAGTTGGCAAACCACACACAAATGCAATATGTTAGAATACTCTCTATGGAGCAATAGTAGAAGGTCACCAGCAGTTTTTCATTCAGTTGTTTCCTGAGAAGTCTCAAGAAATATAATCTCTGCTGGGCCTTCTTAACCAATGCTATAACATGAACACTCAGGTCAGGTCCTCCTTTATGGAAACACCCAGAAAACTAAAGCTTGCCACAGTCTCCACACAGTCTCCACTGATGATCAGGGGCTGAATGTCTGATCTATTCCTCCTGTAATCTACTTCAAGCTCCTTGGTCTTAGTTGTGTTGAGAACCAAATTATTGTCTCTGCACCACAAGAGCAACCACTCCACCTCA